CATTTCAGCTACTTCGGAGTCTTGGTGTGTATATTAGACAGTTGATCCACAACACTACATCGGTGACCATCTGTCTTCACATCGGCTAGCCTTCGATTTTGCCAATGGCTTAAAGTATGTACCAAGACACCAACTTACAAAGAACCAATAACTACTAAGTGTTGCTAAGGTAGAGGAACAGATCAGTGGGTCATCACCAAATCAATAGGTGACCAAACAAATATAAAAGAGCAAATTGCATTAAAAAATAACATGCTTTAACTTGATTCGTATTTTGAGTAACGTATTTTTAAAACTTCTATTTTGATACATAAGATGTAAAATTTTAAACATTTAAGTAGCCGAATAACCGGTTGAAGCATTAATTATTTCTTCTAATAAACCACAATATATAAAAACTAATTTAGATTAAGATATCCATGTCAGCAAATAATACTGAGTTGAATACCAAATCATTCGCCACATCAGCATGGTAATCAATTAATGCTTCAATCGGTTACCCGAATACTTAAATGTTTAAAACTTTACATCTTATGTATCAAAATAGAAGTTTTAAAAATACGTTACTCAAAACAGGAATCAAGTTAAAATATGTTACTTTTTAATGCAATTTGCCCAATATAAAAAAAACAAACATGTGTGATAAGAAGTGAAGAAATTGATACAGAGATGATGAATTTTGAATATCATTTTTCACCCATTAAAAAGTGGAACAACATCGATGATATGTTTTAAAACTTTTGATATGTTTTCAATCTGTTTTACAGCAACCCGAACCCAAAATCACCTTGAAAGACAAAGACCAAATCCCCGACACCAGGATCCACCACCGTTGTCACAGTCCAAGAAAGTGAAACGACGTCAAGTATTGAAAATTTATCAGATTCAATCTACTCCGCGTTAATAAACAGAGTTTGACAATAGAGAAAGTGACGGTTGACGCCATTAATATTTTTTGGATTTTCTTCTATTATCCCCTTTCTTTTAAGGGAAAATTGCATGAAAAAGTAACGTATTTTAACTTGATTCCTATTTTGGGTAACGTACTTTCAAAACTTTCATTTTGATACCTAAGATGTAAAGTTTTAAACATTTTAGTACCTGGGTAACCCCGTGAAGACTAATTTTAGACTAAAAAAAAGACTAATTTTAGATTTAAAAAAATCCACGTCATTGACCACGTCAGCAAATAATACCGAGTTGGATACCACATCACTAGTCACATCAGCATGATAATCGGTTAATACTTCAACCAGTTACACGGGAACTTAAATATTTAAAATTTTACATCTTAGGTACCAAAATGAAAGTTTTGAAAGTACGTTACCCAAAATAAGAATCAAGTTAAAGTACGTTACTTTTTCATGCAATTTACCCTTCTTTTAAATAGAACTTGTGTGTACATGAATCGATGTTGATATGAAGAAGTAGAAACTAGTGTTGTCGGAGATGGCAGGCATAAATGTTGTGAGCCATGATGTGTGTGGGGGTGAGATGATGGTAAAAGTGACGAAAGGGGGAGAGAGGTTGGAAT